CGGGGCCTTCAAGCTGCCCCCCCCACGCCCCTTCCCCCCAGACTGACCTGCGGGGGGGCAAATCATGTGTAGTCCCTCCACCGACGCCTGGGGGCTCCCCTGGGAGCGGAGGGGGGGAGAACTGTCTGTACCTGAAATGATGGTGAAATAATGAGGGCGCAGGAATGAGCCATGCCCGTGCGCAGGAAGATGAGCCAAGGTGGCAGGTGACCAGCTTGGCTTAGCGGAGGTCTCACTCCTCCCTGAGCTAAAACACGTGGAAGAAGCTTAAAAGTGGGAGCTGTGTCAGTCCCCTCGGGACGAGCGTTGCCAGGGCACGCGGGGACGGCGCGGTGCCGTCGGGGTGCAGCGGGCGCGGGTGCGGGGCGACGCGGAGGGTTCCCACGAGGGTGTCAGCGACTGCGCGAGTTGCTCGTTGACGTGCGGATCAGGTAGGAGTCCTTCCCGGGCGGCAGGAGGGCCAGGGAGGCGTTGAAATCTTTACTGTGGTTGAACAATGAAGTTTAACTCCCAAACCGGCTAAAATCCGGCGTGTTTCGGGGATGTATTTGGTCGCCGTGTTGGTCTGAGATGGCAAGAAATGCAAAGCTCGAGAGCGGTTGGTTTAAGGATGATTAGACCCGCTAAGAAACCGCAAAAAAATAGATGTTTTTTTATTTGCGATTTCTTAGTGGATCTAATACAAGGTGTCGTCTCTGAACCGAGAGCTGTGGAGTTTTTGCATTTCTCCTCTGTTGAGTCAAGCTCTCCTGATGCAGCTCAAAGCCGGAGCGGGACCATGCCAGCCCCGTGGACCTGGCTGCGTCCCCTGCCTCTGCCGTGCTCAGCAAGGTCGGGTCGAAGGCTCCGCACCTCCGTGCTGGGAGCCGTGTGGAGGAGTCGCGTGGCCCTGGCATGGGAGCTGAGGCACAGCTTGGTCCCCTGTCCTGGAACAAAGGCTGTCCTTGGAGAGTCCCGGACTGCTGCTGCACGTTGTCTGCTCTGGATGTCTGTGGTGAGTGTTGTGGGGACCCACGGGGCTGGTTGGTGGCAAGGAGCGAGGAACATGCAGGTTTCTATCTTGACTTGGACTCTGACTCCTTATGGCCTGGGAGGAGTCGCTTGGACCGAGTCAAAAGTAGCCACTGATCCTGGGTGCCCAGCCTGTGTTTTCAGAGGGTTGAGCTGCTGCTGCTGTGATGGGAAGCGCAGGTGCTCAGAGTGTCTGAAGATACAGCTAGGTTGTCTCGGAGGACGAGGCGCTACCTGAATTGGGGACTGGTCCTCAAACGTCCCACTTGCCCTGTTTGCCTTCCACTTGCCCCTTGCTAAAACAGAAGTGCTGAATCCCTTGGTGAAGTGCTTTCCTGTCCTTCGAGGAAAGGCTGTCTAATTGTAGAAGAGCAGCTGTGAGCATCGCAGGCAGCACAAAGCCGGGTGGCTGACCTGCCTCAGAGCTGTCATGAAATATTCTAGTCCCCAGGTGCTGCTCCGAGCTTGTTGCATAAGGGAAATCTTTTCCTCGTTCAGAATTCAGAGGGATCCAAGGATGCACCCGAGAGGACAAAAGCTGGAGAGTGAACTGGTTGCTGTCCTCCAGTCACTGCCTAGCTGAACATCTGTTAACGAACTTTGCGTTGCTTGGGGAGAACAGACTGACTGCCTCAGTTTGCCAAGCCACTATGAGGGAGGTTGGGAATCTCCAGGCAGAAGGTTAGTGATTGCAGCTCACTGACGATAGCAGAGAAACAGTTCTGATGTCTTGGTTATTGTGGATCTTATGAGCGATGCTAGGCCATAGCAAGCTGCTTTTGAGTCTGCTAAAAAAGTGGTTTTCAACCAGGGTGCAATGAAATCTTTCCAGGGGCACCTGGGGTGTTGTACAATATTAGTATTGATCGATGCAACACTTCTGTTGCAAAGAACTCAGGAAGGTGACAACAGGGCAGAGCAGTTTGACAATGTGGATTCCTATTGGAAATCTCTGGGTTTAGCTTCTGAAACATTTCAGGTGTTCACCCATCTGATGGTGCTAACACTTGCAGCATGCCACAGCACGCTTAAAAAGGATCCTGTGGCACCCTGGTGTTGGCTACAAATGTCCAACTCGGGATCCTTAAAATTCTAGTTTATTAGGCGGATTGAAACACTGTAATCATAAACCTTGGGGCTGGTCCCCACACACACACACGTGCACACATGCACACATATACACACACACACAGTAGCAGGCTACAGAGTCAGGTATACCTATCCTACAAGCACTGGAGTCTGTCGTTGAGGCTTCTTTCAGCGTGGTGTTATCTTCCAGAAGGGGGTCGCCGGCTGGTCCTTCTGGCTGGACAGGTCTGGTCGAGTTGGAGATCAAGAGGGCGCCCCTGAGGGTCACTTTTCACTGCCTTTTATCTGTCCCTGGCAGACTTTGGTGACTCCCCAGTTTTCAGGTTTGCCCAATCCAGGGGTCACTGACCCTCGTGGGACTTCCCCCCCCTCAGTGGCTACTGTACGGCTGATCTGGAGATATTCAGCCCAAAAGTTGGTCTCTGGCGTTGATTAACTCAGGCCAGGGCTTCTAGCCCTTGATCAGTGACGTTTAGAGATTTCCCGGTTGTTACATTGTCTTCTATTGAGTTCTTCTGTTGGTTGATCTGCAGCTTCCAGGTGATAATTGCTGTCTGCTACCTTGTTACACATTCAATCACTGATTTACTCGCTCTTTCAGGGGCCAGCCTGATACAGAGAAGGACAGTTTGATTCCTGCCCTTGTTAACATTGTTACAATGTATAACTTACTAAAACACATTTAGTTGAAAGTTGAAAGGTGAGGAGTATAAAATATAAGCTACAAATGCCATGGCACACAAATAGATAAAAATACCAAACTACAAGGAGAGATACAAAATGCACACACACAAATTTTAAAACACAATTCCTTATCTTAAAGTGAAAGAGAGAGGAAGGAAGAAAAGGTAGAAAAAGAGAAACATATCCAAAGAGGGGAGAGCAAATGCAGGCAAGAGGAAAAGGGGGCTTTCTGCTACACTGGCACCAATGCACTGCCCAGTTCTGGTTCCCAGACCTCAGCTAGGGTATAGAAGAACTAGAGAAGGCCCAGAAAAGGAGAACACGGGTGATTCGTGGCATGGAGGGGCTTCCATATGAGGAGAGACTAAAGAGGCCAGGCTAGTTCAGTGTAGAAAAGAGACACTTGAGAATGAACATAAGGGTTTACAAAATACTAAACAGTGAAGAGAAAGTCGATAGGGATTTATCATTTACTCTCTTACACAATATAAGATCTAAGGGTCACAACGTGAAACGGGTAGGTAGAGAGTTTAAAACTCACACAAGGAAGTTCTTTTTCACACAAGTGGAACAGTGTGGGACTCGTTGCCACCAGATGTGGTGGAAGGTGACAATCTAGCCAGATTCTAAAATGGATTGGACACGCTCTTGAGGGAAAGGGGCATCAGTAGCTACTGAGCAAGGCACTGAGGAGCACGGCCTCTGAATGAGACTTCCTGGGTCTTAAATGCTGGAGGTTGCAAATGGGAAAGAAACGGTGGGGAAAAAATTCTGGTCAGACCCAGTTCATGCTCCCTGTTAGCATCTACTCTTTGCCCCTGTGGGACACACGAGACTAGGCAAAATGGAGCCAGGGTCTGACCCAGTAAATGGCAGTTCTTATGGTTGAGAATGGCTGCCATAGATCCCTGCATACCATCTGTTCCACCTCAGGGAAGACTTCTGGGCAAGGGAATTGGAGACGTCAAGTCTCTCTTTCCAAAGGGAGGACAGTCGCCAGGCGGCACCCCTCTGAAACTGCCCAGGGAAGTTATACACAAAACACCAGTGCAGCCCCAACCAACAGCTCATACAAATAGCTGGCCCTTGGTCTTTCCCCATGAGACAGGTGAATGTTTGCAGAGGAGCAAGGGAGCACTAGTTACAGCTAGGGAACTACCCAGCTTCATTGCCTTTTGTCCATTTTTCAGACCCAGTTCTCCCAGGCTGGGTGGTTGAAGGACTATGCCCTGCCCAATGCCAGCTGGAGCCAGGACATGCTGAACCTGTATAACAAGTTTGTGGAGAAGAGCAAGGACGGGACGTGGAAAAGGATCCCATCCTATCAGCACATCATAGCCCTAACAAGCAAGTCTCTTCCTCCTCCCTCCTGTAACTCTGAACAGGTCTCTCCCTCACCTCCCCTAAGTTGCCTTCTCTGCTATTGAAACCATTATGTACAGTGATTCATGGGTATCACATCAAGACTGGTTAGCCTGGTGTCAGTGGTCTTGTCATATCCCAAGATGCTGTGCTTCGCAGCAGTGATTGCTCAGACCAATAAACCATTCTGCCTCTGTACAACCCAGCTCAGCCCAATCCCTTCTCTGCTGCAGGTACCTGAAACAATGGTAATTTCATCCCCACCCAAAGCTGGGGATGTCTGGTTTGATGCTCTCAAGCTTTTGCCAAGATCCCTTCTAGTGGCTGTACCCCTGGGGAAAAAAGAGCATTTTCCTATTGATGCTCTCCTTGAGTCCTCCTCCTTGTTTCCAGAACACCTCAGGGCAATGGCTTCTGGGCAGCAGATATGTGCATGCCAGGTTCATGGGACTCTCCTTAAATCAGTATCAGAACAGAGGGGCACTTCTGGTTAGGATGCAAACAGACTCCTGCCTTCATGTCAACCCAGGGTACAGCGCCTCTGCTCAGTTTCTGCTGCAGTCACCTCTCTCTTCCCCTTCCCCCCCCCCTTCCCTCTCCTCTTCCCCCCACCGCCCCGTCCTCCCCCTGAAAAATCATTGTCCCTCTTCAAGTCCATCTGCCTTTGCAGTGCCAATAAGAAGTGAGTTTGTAGCCCTGCACTGAAAACAACCCCACCCCCACCCCGGCACCACCCCGACCCCCAAGGCTCTTTTCCTGGTCTCCCCTTGCCTGGGTCTTTTACAGCATCCTATGGGCCCTGGGTTCAGGCTCTGGCTGAATTAATGTTACAGCTGTTACTAAACTGACTCCTCCATGCATCACGTCTGTGCTGGGGGTTGGAAGCCAGAAAGCCAGACAGGCTGCCTCATCCCAGCCCAGTGCAACACAAAGCATCTGTAGTGGCAAAATCACCTTGGATCTGTAACATTCTGGGCAGGGGCCATTAACAGCCTGAGGCAGTGACTTGCGCCTCAGATTGATGCTGTCCTGTTAGCGCTGGCCTATTATTTCCTTCCCTCCACCCAGACTCGATAAAGCTGGAAGCTGAGAAGCCTCGGCAGGACACCCGCATCTTCCTCCGGAACCTGGATGGGGAAGGGCTGGGCTTCGAGTATGTGATGTTCTTCAACCCCGCTGAGAAGAGGGTGGTGACCGTGTACCAACCAGGCCCCTACCTGGAGGGGCATGAGGGGTAGGGAGCACTCGCTGCCTGCATCTCAGCCGAGAGGGCATGTATGAACCCCAGGGAGGGGGGAGCAACCCCCTTTCTGCCTGTAGGGCCAGTTGTCCACCCTCCTCTCACATTGCCAGCCCCCTTTCAGGTTCACCCATGGAGGTTCCACGGCCACCATGATAGACTCTACCTGTGGGATCTGTTCCATCTTTCTTGCTGGGAAGTCGATGACGGCCAGCCTCAGCATCAACTTCAAGACGTGAGTGACTGGTGGCTCCCTCCAGGTATCTTGAGGCAGAGGTGGGTGGTAGGAAAGCTGGGGGCCATTTGGGGCTGGTCTTTCTCTTTGCAGCTTGAGCAGCAGTTAGTGCCCTGGGGTCCTGCCCCAGGTCTACAGCAATCACAGTATGAAAGAGCCCGCATCTCACCCTGCTCTGTTGGGAGCCTGGCCCTGTGATGCAGTTCCTCTCTGATCTTCCCTTTCAGCCAGCCTGAGATATCCAGGGGTCATAAAAAAACCCTGCACTGCTCCCTTACAGTGCAGAGGACAACTAAACAGGCAGTATGTGGCACTGCAGACGTGGCCTGCTTGTGCTTGTATATGAAACTTGCTTCAAAATGGGGCTCAAAGAGGTTTATACCAGGGGTGCTCAGCCCACAGACCAGATCCAATCCATGAAGCCATGTCGTCTCTCCTGCTGTTACCAGACTTAATATTAGACATCAGATAGTGGCACTGAAATCATAAAATGCTTAGACAAGAACAGTCCATTCTCTGAAGAGAGGATTTATGGAGTACAGCAATTCAAAACGTCAAGCACATGACAAAGGACAGAAGAAAAATTTTGTCTAGGCTCAGACCCAGCCCAGTGAGACACAGCTGAGTCTAACTGAAAATGTACCATAATAAAACAAAAAGACACCAGAAAGCCTTGCATAGGTTTTACATGATCCTGAGGGCAGAGTGTCTCCTAATGCAGCCCTGCTTGCAGCCAGGTATTCAGGAAGTCCTTCTGGGGGATCCACAGGTCTTCTGGGCAGGTGAGGAGGAGATCCCACAGGCCTCATCTGTGCCTAGGTTTTTATAGGCCATCTGCATCCCAACCCCATGGGAGGGAGTGGTGGGGCAGCCATGTTGGATGGTGCATGCACAAGCTGGGCCCTGGGCAGCGCCCGGAGTGGCACACATGCGGTGCCCAGTGCAGCAGCCCCACCTTACAACTAAATGAAGCTGGTGCTTCCTCGCCCTGCAGCCTGGCCCCACTTCAAGAGAAGTGCCTGCCGGCAGCTTCTGCCAGCATCCACTCAGAAACCATCATGAACCCCTGATGCCCAGGAGCTGGAGAGGAGTCCAGGAGAGCTGGTTGTACTTTAAAGAAACCTTACTGAGGGCACAGGAACAAACCACCCCCATGAGCAGGAAGACTAGCAAGTAAGACAGAAGTCCAGTTTGGCTTCACATAGAACTCATCAGTAAGCTAAATCACAAATTTGGATCTTATATAAAATGGAAACTCGAACAAATAACTTGGGAGGAGTATAAGAGTATTGCTTGAGATGCAGGGATGAAATCAAGAAGGCCAAGTATAGTTGGAGTCACAGCTAGCAAGGGATGTGAAGGAAACAAGAAGGGTTTCTACAAGTATGTCAGCAATAAGAAGAAGGTCGGGGAAAGTGTGGGTCCTTTACTGAATGGGAGAAGCAACCTAGAGACAGATGATGTGCAAGAGGCTGACGTGCTTAATGCCTTTTTTACCTCAGTCTTCACAGTCAAGGTCAGCTCCCAGACTAAAGCACCAGGCAGCACAGTTTGAGGAGGAGGGGAGCAGCCCTCAGTGATGAAAGAACAGGTTAGGGACTATTTAGAAAAGCTGGATGTGTAGAAGTCCATGGGGCCAGATGGGATACACCCAAGGGTGCTGAGGGGGTTGGCTGATGTGATTGCAGAGCCACTGGCCATTATCTTTGAAAACTCATGGTGATTGGGAGAGGTCCCGGATGATTGGAAAAGGCAAATATAGTGGCCATCTTTAAGAAAGAGAAGAGGATTTAGGAACCTACTATAGCCTCACCTCGGTCCTTCGAAAAATCATGGAGCTGATCCTCAAGGAATCCATTTCTAAGCACCTGGGGAAGAAGAAAGTGATCAGGAACAGTCAGCATGGATTCACCAGGGGCAAGTCATGCCTGACCAACCTGACTACTGCTCTGCCATGCAGATGAGGGCAGTAAAGAGCCTGACTCCCTAGACACTCAACTGAGCTGGGGAGAGTGTGTTGCAGGAGAACAGCTCCAGGGTGGGAGCTTTGGCTTAGACATTCCCTGCTCTTGGAGTCTTAGAATTTAAACTGAGACTCTGTTTTCAAGTTGAAGCCCAACTTAATCAGATCTCCTCTGGCAAGCCTTGATTCGGGTCAGCAGCCTGTGATGTGCAGCCACTTCTGGGGAGGAACACAGCTGGTGCTGGGCAGTTTTCATGAGGCAGGGAGTGGTGTCCTGCTGAGGTCTGACTGTTCTCTCCCTGCAGCCCCATTCTGCTGGGCTCGGTGGTCTTGGTGGACAGCAGGTTGGACAGAATGGAGGGGAGGAAAGCATTCCTGTCCTGCCAGGTCTTGAGCTGTGATGGCCAGACCCTCCATGCCGAGGCCACAGGTAAGGACAGCGCGTGGGCAGGGGGAACAGATGAAAGTGGAGCCAGAGGATGTTTGGTGCCTGGTAGTGCCCTGGAGGAGATGCCCCATGCTGATGCCTGGAGGTGGCTGCAGGCTCTGGCCAGTTACTCAGAGCCCTGGTTCTTTCCCCATCGCTCCCTGTCAAGAGCAGGCTTCCCCCAAGATCCTGCTGTTGGCTCTGACTGTTTGAGGTCAGAAGCTCAGACATGTTGAGCTCCCTGATTCCCACTGATCTGCACCTGATTTGCACGAACAGCTCTTTGATATCAGATCCACTCTGAGCTGGCTGCCATAGCAGATTTGAAGGTCTAGGGCCAGTCAGCATAGAGCACCAAAGCCCTGCTCTGGCCATGAGGCCTGCTGGCCTTGTGTTCCTCCTGCCCACTGCTGCAGGTCCTGCTGGGGTTGGGGCTGGGCACGAGCAGTCCTCCCCTTCCCATTGCTTCCCTGGGTGAGGCACAAGCTGGCAACAGCCATGGGCAAGTCCCAGAACTTGTCCTTGCTGCTCCCTGGGCAATGACACGTCCCACACCCCTCTCCTGGGATGATGGCTTTGTTCCAAGCAGAGGCATCCACTCTTTTTCCCCTCCCTCTTCCAGCCCTCTTTATCCAGGTGGCTTCTCCCAGCCAGATGTGAACTCCCAGCAAGCCTGTCAGATGAAGCTGCTCATGGCTGCTCCATTCTCCAGCCCCACCACTCTCCTGCTCCCTGTACCCAGCTCCTCAGCTCTCCCTGGATGTGTGTGACAGAGCGTTGGACCCCCTGCTTTGTGGGGCTGCTCTGGGAAGAAGCCTGTTCTCCCCCATGGCCTTGTGGCTGCTGCATCACAGCATCTCCTCCCAGCTGGCTTTCCAGGACCCTACTCCCATGCAGACAGGAAGGTCCCACAGCCTGTGGTCCTGTGCACCATGTTACACCCAAGATGCCTCATTGTCTTGGAAGACAAGTCAAAGCAAGTTCCTCTGAACCATCCATCAGTGTAGCAGTATAGCATTCAAGTGCCCAGTCTGGCACATGGTGTGAGAGTCAGCAGACACCCCACCCCTGGCTCCCTGACCTCTTGCCCAGGAGGTGGGGCCCAGGCTCCAGGGCTTGTCCACCCCCAGCTTTGAGCCAGGGAGCCAGGTGATAATGATGGTGGCATGTCTGGATTCTAGTGAGAAAGGGGCGATTGGCTGATTTTCTGCCTTGCAGGCCAAGCCAGGCCCTTCTGAAAAGCAAAGACCAGCCTCAAGGTGACTTTTCGTAAAGAAAATAATTGTTCTTCTCACTGAAACTGAAAACACCTGGCCAGATTCCATGTTGGGGTCAAAAAGCTGCTTGATAGGTTCAGTGTGAGTGGTGGGTTAACCCTTTGTAGACCCTGTTGACGCAGTGCCTGCCATTTCAAAATTCAAAGGTTTTTTCCAGACGAAAGCCAGTGGGGATTTTCTTTTGAAAGCACTGAAACATTTTGATTTTGTCCCAGAAGTCCCAAATGTTTCATCGGCATGAGCGCCTTGCTGAAGGGGCCAGAATTCAACCCCCAGCAGAGGTGGCTCGAGGGCTGGAGAGCACGTGCTTAGAAGTGGTTCACACGTAGTAGCCCTGCAAGTGGCAGCCATGCTGCCAGGACCTGCTGCCTCCCCCAGTGGGTGCGGGGACGGGAGCAGGAGAGGGGTGTGAATTTGGCACACGTCTCACGTCCATTCCCTCTCTGAGCCAGGAGTCGTCTTCACTTCCTGTCTCAAACCACTGCGAATCACAGAGGGCTGTTCTCTGTTTCGCTGCCATGTGTTGCCATGATCTAGTAAACAGCTGCCACGTTCCACCCCAGAGATGGTTGCATTTTAGCACATAGGCAACATGTGTATGCTGGCTGGAATCCCTCCTAGGAAGGGCTGCCTTGGCCCATGGTTTTAGTCATTGGCATGGATTGCTGACCTTGCTGTACAAAGTCTTAGGTAGGACTTTGCTTCTATATGAAACTTATCTCAGAGTGGAGCTCAAAGAGGTTGATACCAGGGTGCTCAGCCCACAGGCTAGATCCAGCCCATGAAGCCATGTCGTCTCTCCTGCTGTTACCAGACTTAATATTAGACTTCCGATAGTGGCACTGAAGTCATAAAATGCTTAGATAAGAAGAGTCTGTTCTCTGAAGAACACACTTATGGCGCACAGCAATTTACAAGTTTGAGCACATGACAAAGGTCAAGAAAAATTTTTTGCCTAAGCTTAGACACAGTGACAGCATACACGACTAAGCTTAACTGAGCCTAAAGGCAACAGAAAGCCTTGCATATGTCTTATATGATCCTGAGGGCAAAGTGTCTCATTGCAGCCAGGTATTTAGAAAGTCCTTCTGGGGGATCCACCGGTCTTCTGGGCGGGTGAGGAGGAGATCCCATAGGCCTCATCTGTGCCTGGGTTTTTTTAAGCCGTCTGCATCCCTTTCTCCCCCTTGGGTGCCTTGACCACAGCATGCTTTTCACATCCCTTACATACCACATACCCCTCACATTCACATGCATTTGGTGTGTCTTCTTTGCTATTCCAGTCTCTTGCCCCTTACAGGTACTGCTTTGAAATGTAAGTGTAGGTCCCTGCACATAGCTTCAGAATCTGTAAAAAGGTCCACACATGCTATGACTGTGCCAGGTCTTTGCCAACGCTGCAAGGCTCCACACAGGTCTGAACATGTGGTAGCAAGGGAGTGGTGGTAACATTGATTGCCACTCCCCTGCTGACAAATTTCCAGATTTGTGGGGAGCCCTGTAGGCCGGACAGCAAGCCCTTTACTCTACTGGGCACAGGGGTCTGGAGCAAGGCAGGTCCCAATCTGGGTGTGCGGGGCGGTGCAGCATAAAGCAGGATCTGGGCACCCGGGGTCCAGTGCAGGTGGCACAAGGTAGGATCCAGGTACACAGGCCAAGAAAAGCCAACAGCCTCCTGGATTGTATTAACAGAACTGTCACTTGCAAATCAAGGGAAGTGATTCTTCTGCTCTGTTCAGCACTGGAGAGGCCTTACCTGGAGTCCTTTGTCCAGTTTTGGGCCCCACACTTCAAGAAGGATGTGGGCAGCCTGGAAAGAGTCCAGTGTAGAGCAACAAAAATGCTTAGGGGCCTGGAAAACATGATTTGTGAGGAAAGGCTGAAAGAACAAAGGTTATTTAGTCTGGAGAAGAGAAGACTGAGGAGGGATTGGATGATAGTCTGATTCAAATACCTGAAGGGTAGAGAGGATGGAGATGTGATTTTCTCTGTGGCTTTAGGGAGCAGGATTAGCAGTAATGGCCTCAAGCTTTAGCAGAGGAAATTTAGGTTGCAGATTTGGAGGAACTTTCTGACTCTGGGGATGATTGAGCACTGGGACAGGCTGCCTAGAGAAACCGTGGACTCTCCATCCTTGGAAATGTTCAAGAACAGGATGGACAGACCCTGGGCTGGGATGGTTCAATCAGGGCTGGTCTTGCCCTGAGCGGGGGCTGGATTACATGTGACCTTGATGTCCCTTGCAGCCCAACTTTCCTATGCTCCCATGGTGCCTATGAATCCTGGCAGTGTTAGCTGAGATCTGGGCAGATGAGACCCAATCCAAGTGGTACAAAGAAGGATCCTGTACACAGGGCTGGATCCAGGCACCAGCCCCACACTACACATCCAGCCTGTGGGGCCAAAAGGTTGAACATTGGCTTATACCATGTGTTCATTTTGAGCAAGGAACTCTCTCTCTAACCAGAAGCACCCGGGCTCAGCCTGGGAGTGACGGGGTGACATTCTTCATGTGTTAGCTCTGGGCCCTGCTGATTGCAAGACCAACCCACCAGTCTCCATCAGTACAATTTAGCAGGCTCAGACAGAGTTTACCTCAACCCCACAGCCCCCTCCCAAATGCTGCTGCATCAGGAATCCTGGGTAGAAATGACAAGGAGACTCGTCATTTGTCCTGGCATTTGGACTTGAAAGAAGAGAGCAGAGCTGTTCTCCATTTTCCTAGCTTAGAACAGCCCTCTTTGTGTTTAGGGTTTTGAGAAGAATGCTGATGAGGCCCCAATAACAAGATTTTGGAGACAGGACAGTGCTCTCCTTGTCTCCTGGGGTCTGGACAAGAAGGCATCAGTATCTTCTGTAGCAAGGAGGATGCAAAGATTCCTGACTAAGGCAGGGGTGGCCAACCTGTGGCACAGGCAACTTCTTCCTGTGGTGCACACGAGATCAGGGAGGGAACCTCTAAGACAACAGCAGACTGGACGGGAACCAAGAGACAAAGCAGGAGATCAGGAAGAGAGCAGAGGGCAGGAAGCAGACGGGCAGGGGAAGGGGATCAGAGTGGCATTCAGGGATTGTGCCCAAATGAGCATTCACATGCAGTTTGTGGTGCCACCAATCTGTCTGCAGCACTCAAACTATATGTGCCACATGCAGGCATTCACTGCACTGTTAATCTGCAGTGCAGGAGAGGTTTTTTAACACCAGGAGATCTCAGTGTCAAAAAAACCCAGGCCAAAAAAAGCAGGGCAGCACACATGGCAACAGTGTGCGCTGCCTACAAATGGAGCCCGGTCAGCTAGAGCCACACTCCAGCTGCTGGCCAGGCTCTGTGCACCCAGATCGTCACCGCTGGAGCCCTGGGGAGCCCCCAGGACTCAAAGTAAGGCTACTGGGGCCAGGCCATGTGCTGGCCACAGCCTCCCCTGCCTACCCAACTTGGGGCAACTTGCCACACGCAAGAGCACATGTGCAGGGGAGTTCCCCGGGGACAACTAGCAGTGGCACAAACATGTGCTGCTGCTATTTGGCCCTGGGGAAAACACATTCCCACGCACCCAGGGAGGGTACAGGGCTAATTTGTGGCACACCAGCCAAAAAAAAGTTGGCCCCTGGTGCTCTCAGGACTTCTTATTACAGCTGCCCCCATCCGCATGTATTATTATAGCCACCCTCATCCAAAGCACTGCCAGTCAGGATGATGATTGTTCTAGTGCGCTGCATTCTCCTTAAGCTCAAGAATATTCCTGTTTTGGCTCCAGGGAGAGCCCATGTCCCGCAGTGTAGCCCTGAGTTGGGACAGGCTTGACAGTGCAATGGATTGTCACCCTGGTGGCACCAGCTACCAACTGGCAGTGAGAAGAGACCTCAGAAAGGTGCCCAGAGGCTGCTGTGCCCTTCCCAGGCTCTCCGTGGTCTGCCTGGGTCCAGCCTAGTGCTTCCCTGTTCTTGCAAGAGCCGGGCAAACAGGAGCACTGCGGCACTGGGGGAGGGTTCCTGACCCCCCGGGCTGGGAAGTTTGGTGCAGCCTTGGGATTCCAGTGGGACACGGGACAGAGGGAGGGTGAAATTCTTCGGCCAATGCAGTGATCTAATGCAGGGCCATGCAACTCTGAGCCCACGGGCTGCATGCAGCCCACAAGGGGCTATATCATGGCCTGTGGACTCTATGCTCTGGTTATTGCTCCCCTCCCTCTTCTGGCTTCAGCTTCCTGCCCCTGCTCCAGGGGGGGAGCAGGATGGCCAGCATGAAATCACATGTTTGTGGGACTCAGGGAGTCTGAAGCTTGGGGGGACCCATGTTTCCCACATGGTACAATGCAGTGCTATGGGGGTTGCCTGTATGGGGCAATTAGTGGGGGGTGCTGACAGCATGGTGGGGGACCTCAATCCAGGGGACCCAGGCTGCTCAGAAGTTGGACAGCCCTGGTCTAATGGGCACTTCTGGCCTTCAAACCTGTGCGCCCTGGTAGAACAGGGCAGTTTGGCTCAGAGGGGTAAAATGGAGCCAAGACATGCTTAGTGCTCCATCTCCACACAAAGCAAGAGCTTAATCCAGAGATTAACACCAAGAGGCCATCTCAGATGGAACGCACCAAGGAGACCCTCATGTTCGCCTTCCACAAGGACCTTGGGGACAATGCTTCCACCCAACAGATGCCCTCCATGTCCTAATGGAGACAGAGACCGTGCACAGGTTGAGCCCATGAGGCAGCCCATAGCAAGGTGCCAGCACAGGTTGAGCATGTGAACATTAAGGCAGTTCGAAAAGGACACGTGTGAAGGAAGTCACCACCAGCTCCATTTGTTCTAACAGCTCCTTGGAGCATCCCCATTCCTTTGCAACAGAAAGTCAAGGAAGACTTAAAGAGGATAAAAGTAATGGGGTTATAGATGAACCCACAGACTGGTGTGCAGGAATAGTTGTAGTGCTGAAATCCAATGGGAAAATTCACATTTGTGTGGACTTTACTCAATTTAAACAAAAACATGCAGAGAAAGACATGCACTTCCTACATTGGAGCAGTTGTCAGAGGCTGAAGTGTTTTCAAAATTAGATGCCACTGCAGGATTTTGGCAAATCCCTCGTTAAGGCATCTAGACAGTTAACTACATTAATTACACTGTTCAGGATGTGTTGTTTCAACCAGCTTCCTTTTGGTATATCATCAGCACTAGAGCATTTCCAAAAATGAATAAACATTTCCCTCTCTCTCCCCACCCCGCCCAATCTCCTCCCCCCAGATTGTGATGGGGCTGCCTGACATCCCTTGCCTGCAGATGACATTGAGATATGGAACAAATAAACAGGAACACAATGGATGTCTACATGCTGTTTTGCAACATTTCCAACAATCTGGTCTCACTTTGAATGGGAAATGTGAATTTGGGAAGGAAGAAATCAAATTTGTTGCATATATCATTAGCAAAAATAGAATGGAATACCAGCCAGTACCAAGTGGACTATCACAGGGGTCAGTCCCGGGGCTGATTTTGTTCAATATCTTCATTAACAAAAATGGGGTGGATTGTACCCTCAACAAGCTGGGAATAGTAGATA